TGATGGTGATGGTGGTGGTGATGGTGGTGATGATGATGGTGATGGTGGTGGTGATAGTGATGGTGGTGATGATGGTGATGGTGATGATGATTATTATTAACAATGGTGATGATGGTAGTGATCGTGATGGTGGTGATGATGATGGTGAAGGTGATGGTGATGATGGTGATGGTGGTGGTGGTGGTGGTGGTGATGGTGATGATGGTGATGGTGGTGGTGATGGTGGTGGTGATAGTGATGGTGGTGATGATGATGGTGATGGTGGTGATGGTGATGGTGGTGATGGTGATGATTACTATTAACAATGGTGATGATGGTAGTGATCGTGATGGTGGTGATGATGGTGAAGGTGATGGTGATGACGGTGGTGATGGTGATAGCGAAAATGATGTTAATAGGGATGATGTTGATGGTGGTGATGATGGTGATGGTGGCGATGACGGTGGTGATGCTGGTGATGGTGGTGATGGTGATAGTGAAAATGATGTTAATAGGGATGATGTTGATGGTGGTGATGATGGTGGTGAAGGTGATGATGGTGAAGGTGATGGTGATGGTGGTGATGATGATGATGATGGTGATAGTGAAAATGATGTTAACAGGGATTATGTTGATGGTGGTGATGATGATGGTGAAGGTGATAGTGGTGATGATGGTGATGGTGGCAATGACGGTGATAACGGTGATGATGACTTTAGTGGTGGTGATGATGGTGATGGTGGTGATGATGGTGATGGTGGCGATGACGGTGGTGATGGTGATGATGATTATTAACAATGGTGATGATAACTGTGGTGATGACGATAGTGGTGGTGATGATGGTGATGAGGGTGATAGTGAAAATGATGTTAACAGGGATTATGTTGATGGTGGTGATGATGATGGTGAAGGTGATGATGGTGGTGATGATGATGGTGATGATTGTGACATGATAACGACGTGTTGGTGGTGATGATAGTCGTGGTGGTTATGGTGATCATACCTTCTACTGAAGCTTTCCTGGGTATGAGGCACTGCTCTGAGAGCTTTGCCAAACAACCCTGGGATGTGGATACTAATATGATTCTTATTTTATAGAGGAGACAACTGAGGCACAGGGAAGTATGATGAGCTGTTTGAGCATTTACTGACAGAGCTACACATCTACCAAGGCCCAGTTTCTGAACTTCCAGACCTGGGCCCTTTTCCCAACCCCAACATGATTCCATAAGAGGTTCTGAGGACCCTCAGGAATCCTGTAGGTTAACCCCGGGCCAAGAATCTCCGATAGTGCTGAAGTGTGAGTGAGTTGGACTGTGGGAGGGTAGGGAAGAGGCAAGGGTATCCTCAAGTCACTCAAAACCAATCCTCAGCGTCATGGAGCTCTCCTGGAGCTGCTGGCCCAGGTCTCTGCCTACCCCTCCAACACACGCCCATGTGGGGCAAGCTCCCAGAGAAGCGTCCCAAGCCCTGCCCGGCAGCACAGGCCCTTTCCTCGTGACTTTGGCCCTGCTTGTCTAGGGGGTTTTCATTTTTACCTCCTCAGCATGGTCTCCCAGATCAATCTCCACAAACACAGACGGTTTCTGCAAATGGAAACCAAAGAGGTGTGGATGGCAGGCTGGGGTGAGCTGGGGAGGAATGTCAATTCCCTGGGAGGAGCAGTGGCTCCTGGCCCTTGGGGCAGCCAGGGCGGACCCTGGTGATGGCCATCAGGACCCCAGATCCTGGCAATGCTGAACAGGGGCTCCTGGGACGCTGGGCAGAGCTGATGGCAGTGTGGACTGTGAGGTGCCCATGGCCAGCTCTGGCAGTAGAGCTGGAGGAGAGATATGGCTTTCCACCCCCTCCCCACCCAGCCTCCATCAGGGCCCTGTGACCCCAGAGGATCTCCTCCACCCTCACCCTCTGAGAACTGGGGCCTCCAGGAGATGGGGCAGTTCCCAGAGCTAGGGGTCCTGGCCACTCCCACCGCAGCCCTGCTCAACAGGGCAGCACTCCTTTCCCACAGCCTGCCTGTGGGCCCCATTCCTCATGGAGGACCTGGAGACCCCCCACCCAGGATGTGAACGGCTTCAGTGACTCAGACTTTTGCTGCCCAAGGCCTCTGACTGGGCGCCCGGGCCAGCCCAGAATGTGTTTCTGATGGGAGCACTTGAGTCAACTCTGAGGACAGTGTCTGGGGGAGGGGGAGGGACTTCCCAAGAGCCTGGAGTGAAAGCCAGGCCCGCCTGGCAAGCAGCATGTCCAGCTGTGTCCCCGTCCCCGCCACGCGGCTGAGAGGGAGAACAGACGCCACCTTCCTTCACGCGGTGCCACGGGAGAACCCCCATGTGACGCGTCTCTGGCCAACACATCGAACCTGGGGCTCTGGGGTTTTCCTGGGCCAGGGTCCAGCTGAGGGCACCTCCTCTCAGGGCCTTGCATACCTTTAGTGACTGCACATTTGGCAAGCTGGGGTCAGGCTCCCTGGGGTGGGGCAAAGAAGCTCAGAGCTTGGCCCCAAGCCTCTCTGGGGTAGCGGGGCCCCACCCAGCTTCACAGCCTGGGGCTGCTGAGACTACCCCCAGGCCCCATCCCGGGCAGGTCCAGGCTCCAGCAGGACTCCCACCTGACGGGCCTCCCATCTTACTTTCGTTACTAAAGGGAAAAGCTCTTGCCTCTTTTTCCTGGAGGTCATTTAGCTTTATGGACTCTGCCTCCTGTTCCTGTAAAGACCGAAGAGGTAAGTGAAGGCCGGGCTCCCGGTCGGGAGGACAGACATGCACCACTCCTCAGGCCTGACCTTGGCCTCCTGCCAGCCTCCATCCGCGTGCGTGCCTTCCTGCGCCTCCTGCGTGCTGGCCTCCGAGCCGCTCTTCTCCGTCTCCGGGTCCCGCTTTCCACTCTCATGACCCAGCTTCCCCAGGGCGCCGAAGGGGCTTTCCTTCTTGTCTTGTGCTAGGTCTGCCCAACTGCAGGAGGTGGAGGGAGAGTGGCAGACAGCTGCAGACGCTCCGGGTCTCCTCTGGGCGTGTCTCCCTGGGCTTGAGGCTGATGCCCGGGGGGCTGCGGGTGCCTGTGAGGGGCCCTGACCTGGCCCGGAGGTCTGGCTCGGATGGGCCCCCCAACCTGGCCCTCCTGGCTCCCTCTGCTGACCCATCTTGGCTGGAAAACTTACCCTGCACCACCAGGGCCTGGACTGGCAACGAGTTTACCTACAGCCAACCTGGGCTTATTTCAGAAAGCAGGGTCTAACCTTGCTCAAAGAGCCAAAATCTGGTGAGAAGATGCAGCCACCCTGCGGTGGATCCACAGCTCACTCCCGATGGAAGCCAAATGGGCCACGGCAGCCAGCGGGCTGGGGGTCCGTGGATGGACCCCCTGTTACTCACACCCACCTGGTGACCCCTTCTGAGGTCCGCTGTGGTGTATGGCCTGGGGCAAGAGGAAAGTAGCCGGCAGTGAGGACAGGGGCTCCTCCACCATCTGCAATGGTGACTTGGCCAAGGGTGTTGATTGGCTTGGCCAGTGTGAGCAGACACTTTGAGCTGTGCCACCTGAAGGAATGTGGTCTTCCCAGCTCAAGTGCCCTCACCAAGGCCGTCGGCTTCCCTGAGCCCCACAGGGTGGGAGGTTCCCACGCCTTGCACGTCCTCTCTGACGCATGAGCCCCTCACTCTCACCGACTGATTGCACCTGTGGCCACTGGCGGCCAGACACCATCCTTGGTCTCCACTCAACGGGAGCCGTTTGTAAAGAAGGATCACTTGGCCCTGCCTTGTCCATGGTGCTGGCAGATCGACTGTTAGATCTGAGACAAATTCTTGAGGTATGTAATAACTTTTAAGGCCCCTTTGATGGCAGGAGGGTGAGTGGGTCTTGGACCAGAGGTGGGGTGGAGTGTCCAGCTGAGGTGTAGGGAGGCAAGAGCTTGCGGTGCGAAGTGTGGACGTGCCGTCCAGGGCCCGCGCCCCTCTCCCTAAAGGGTCACCAAGTTGTTTATATCTAGCGTGGGCCCAGCCGTCCACTAGTGAAACGACGCCTCCTTCCCCACAGGGCCACGGGGTGTCTAGTGAGAGGCGTGCAGTGTGACTCTCAGGCCAGGGCCCCCCAAGTCCTGAGGATCCCCTCCCCTGGCCAAGGTGGGCCTTGTTCCCACATGGAATTGCTCTCCAAATAAGGAGGATCTCCCAGCCCTCCCACCCAGGCCCTGGGCGGGTCTTCTCAGGACCCAGGGCTCCCTTGGGCCCCTTGTAAGTGTCCACCTGATGCCCGGTGTCCCCCACGTCCACTCTCCTGTGTCCACCTCACTTTTCCCAGCTCTACCTTCACCCAGGCAAGCACCGGACCGGCTGCTTACCAGCTGGCATCTTCTGCGTTACTGCTTGGGCCCTTCCCCTGATCTTCAGACTCTGGAGAGGAAGGACAGAGCCTGTCAGCACCATCAGCACAGTCGCACTGCAGCTCCGGAGCCCGGGGTCCGCCCTGAGCCGCCCACAGCTGCCCACAGCAGAGCTCAGCCCTCAGCCATGGCTACAGCTAACCTGAGTTCCTCCCCCACCCGTGCCCATGCCCAGCCCCTCCTGTATTGGCCATCGGCACTTTCCACAGCCTCGAGCCGGGTCTTGAACCTCCTCCAGCTTCTCCCTCCAGGACTCAGGTGAGGCATGGCCAGCTGCCTCACAGGAAATGCCTGAGGCTCCGGGACCTCTTGAAATTCCTCTGTCCCAGCACAGGTGGCTGGAGGTAGCTGAGCAGGAGGATGGGAGAAGCCCCCCCAAGACCTGCCCCTGCCGGTTACCACCCCTACCAGGCTTCCTCTCACGGACAAGTGGGACTCAAAGCCCCACTTGGCTTGTCCAGAAAAACCCACCCATCCTCAATGCCTCTGGGCTGCCCCAAGGCACGTTGCCAGAATGTCTGTAGTCGGCTTTCTTCGTGACACTCACGACCCAGCTTCCCAAGAGCGCCGAAGGAATTTTCCTTCTTCTCTTGTGCTAGACTTTCTGTTTTGTGAGGATTTTGGTGTGAGAGACGATGGGGACCCGGGAACGTCAACTCCGGCAGGAACCAGGCCCAGCTGTTGGCCGCTGGCCTGCACCCAGCACCCACTGCTCCCTGGCACACTCTGTTCCAGTGAATCACTGCGTTCTCTGTCCCAGGAGCTTGCACACCAGCACAGCCTTGTAAGGAAGTCACATGCCAGGGGATTCTCCAAACCCTGGGTCCTCAGAGAGCCTCAGAGCGAGCAGATTCCAGACCCACGGGGCCTCTGCCGTGTCGGAGCCAAGAATGGTGGTGGAGACTCACAAGTCTGTGAGGGGTGAGGAGCTGAGTCCCTGCAGAAGTCAGTCCTGGGCAAGGCCATGACTGACTCTACCAGCAATGCCCGGCCATTTCCTTGGGTCACAGGGCTGGAAATGCCTCCTGCTCTTCTTAAGCAGAATCTCAGTTGCCTGCGGGCAGCCACCAAGCTCCCGGGAGGATG